ATCATAAAGATCATATGTTTCAGGCTGCCCCCAATGTGGTTTAAACCTCTGCTAACTCTAACCACATCTTGGTGCAGTACAGACTGCAAGTGTACTGTGCTATTACAGACGGGCGCGCACGCACACACACACACACACACACTTCACTTCACTTCACGTCTACATAAATGCAGGTAAATAACGGCAAACGGCACATGCAGACTACATAAACAGCAATTCCTTGCAATATTTACAATATGAAAAGCACCATATCAGTTTACTAAGTCCTAACAGTAGCATATGACTGAATGAATAATGAATGTACTTTATAATTAATGTAATAATCATGTACAGTAAGTCATGTAATGTAAAGCCATTTTCAAATACTATATCACCATGAACTGTGGACATTTGTGGAAATGGAACTTTGTTTGTTTGCTCGCAGGATGTGAGCGACAGAATAGAAAAGGAACCGCTGGACGGACCAATCGTGAGACAGCTGGAGAGAGGAGGGAGGGCTGTTGTCAAGGGTGACTGGAGAGAGCATATCACGGTGCCACTGCAAACAGGTGTGAGACTGGCTAATGTTTACACAACATATCAAATACAAGATCCTGGTGGCCCCTGTTCCCTTGTTGCTTTTTTAAACTTAAGGTTATAGTATAGAACTCCACAGATGGACTGTGGTAGTATTTCACTTTAGAGCTAGTTGGAGAAATGCTTTGACTTGTATGATTTACATTCATAGTTGCACTGCATGCCATATCCTGTCACCTCAATATACTGCAGTGGGGAGGCCTGCTGCTTCCTGTCAGCATTACTACCACTGAGTGGCATTAAGGTAGTCATGAATTGACTGATAAATGTGAGATTATGTGGGTATATTACATGGCATGTTGTAACAGCAGAATATGAAAGTATACTCATTTTTCTACACTTACAAAACAACTACCCTTTATAAAATATAGCTAATTTTTTTTATTCTTTGCATACTTTTTTGACCGTTTGTCATTCTCTTGAATGAAGACACCTGGGGCCAGATGCATGTAAATTCAAACAATGATCAAATTCATAACTCAAAAATAATTTAAATGAATTTTATAAATCAGCCTGTGATTGACATTTTACAGAATATTGTATAGACTACAAAAATAACACTATACTAAAAATAACAGATCAGTGAAACTGGCAAACAACCAAAACAAACAATGTTTTACCACAAGGTTAAACCTTTTATTTCCACCTTATCATATCACCTACAGCTAGTATCTATAAAACAGTGTGTACGCCTTGTCTGAAATATGTGAGGTGCACATATTCTCACTGCATAATCGTCTTTGTCGTCTCAGTTTGTGTGGGAGATGGCCTACACGTGGTTTTTGTGCGTATTGTTTATGCATCTGGCTCCAGATGTTGTCTTGATGAAACATGGAAAAGTTATGCACTCGCCTCTCTATTCTTATTTCCGAAATTCCACTGATCAGTCAAGTTTGGGAACTTCATTAACAGGATAAAATAAAAAGACAGCTGTGTCATTTCAGGATTTCCTGTTTACCGGTTCCTTGTTGGATAATGATCAGGGATTCATTCTGTGGTTGATGCATGGGCTTATGTCTTTTTCTGTATTTCTTTGGCAGATCTGCGGAAATTTCGCTCTTATAAGGGCGGGTCAGTCAGAGACCTGCTGCGTGCAATGAGAAACAAGGTAGGGATGTATTCTGAAGTCTTGTTTTTAAAAGAAACTGATCTCTGCTTTTAGACCTAACGCTTGACCCTCCTTCAACAGAAACACCATTACCGAGAGTTGCCTGCTGAGGTGCAGGAGACTCTGGGCTCCATCCCTGATGACTTTGTCTCCTACTTCACCTCCCGCTTCCCCCACTTGCTGATGCACACCTACCTTGCCATGAGGGCCTGTGCACCTGAGAGGTCCTTCCTGCCTTACTACTCCTCTGCAGAGCGGCTTGCAAACACACAGGCCCGCTACACAAACCTCGGGCCACAAAATGAACCCCAGAGACAAAATGAACCATGTACTCAACACCTGCCAACACACACATCATTACCCTCCTCACAACCCCAGGAAGCTACACATTCTCCACAGCCTGTGGAGGTCTGTCACACAACACCTGTTGAATCAGTGCCCTCTGCATCACCATATGAGCCTGTATCCTCACATTTGCCAGCTGAGACAGTGCAGCCAGCAGCGCCAGCACTGTCCACACAGACTGACTTGCACAGTCAAACAGTGAACCCTACATTTGCCTCAGAATCACCTGTAGTTCCTCTCAGGCAAAGAGAATCCAGTCAGTCTGAGATGCACACACTGCCAGATCCGCATACACTAGACAGTCAACCAGTGTGAACTGGACCAGAGTCAGGTGGACCCGTCATGGGAGCATTGCCTTCAAGAGTGGACACCAAGTGGGACTTGGTTGCTGCACCGTGAGCTGGTGAGGACCGGGCCTGCAGTGCCTGGGATTCACTGCCAGGCGCAGCATCTGCGCCCTTAGTTAAGTGCCTTCTGCTCACCTTGGTTAAAATGTTCCTGAACAGAGCCGTCCAAAAGTCTGTCTCTGCTTTGAGGAAGTCAATAACCAAACGGGGTGGTTTTGGACATTATCTTGTAGCTGGGCTGAGCAAAGCAAAATTTTTTTTTTTACTTTATGGCATGTCAAAAAAAAAAAGTGTTCGTCCAAAAAATATCCGGCCTCTATCGTGGGAAACATGTCTGGATGTTGTTGAACACTTGCGTAGTTTTATTGTGCAATGTTGTATTTCTCAGTGAGCCTGTTCACTGCGCAGATACTGTATGTATATTTTTGTATAGACTGATTCAGAATTTGGATCATTAATGCTAAATCATTTAATGTGGCTGATGTGCCTTTTTTTAAATATCACTGTGCTATATGGGTACAGATCTTTAAAGTTGACTATGCTAAATGTGCTTGATTCCAGTTAATGCTGCTAGACTGCTTCTCTTTTGTCAATCAAGACTATTGTTCTGACTCGGTAAGAGTGGACTGTTCCAAAGGGTTTTCAGGGTGGCCTCTGAATACAGTAGGTAATTTTATCCTCATGCGATTATGTAGTCAAATGTGAGTTTAGAGTTCAGGCTGCAGAACTCCTGTATAATAACTTTTCAAGGGTGTCAAAGTGAAGTTAATGACTTGCACATTAAATTCTATTTTTTTTTTATACTAAGATTTTGCTTGTTGGTTGATTGCTACATCTCAAGATGGGGATTGGGAAATATGGAACTATGGTTAGTGCATAAAAGAAACTTAAAGTATACTAAACTGTCCTAAATACTTTAATTTATATGTGCTCCAAGCTGCAGATATATATTGAATTGCCTTGGTTAGCTATTGCCACAGTTGACATTGGTTAGAGTAGAATGTGGTATATCCTCTCTGTCAGATGTTAAAAGTTTTGGAGCATTGGCCAGCAAAAGCAGGAATTTTACTTCAAACAAAAAGACACAGTAACACAGAGCCTGTGTGAATCATTGCGCCCTCTCAAAGTCAAACACTGACATACATGGGTAATGTATCTAAAACCGGACTCTCATATCAGGATGTAAACCTATGAATAGGTATGAACTCAAATGCAATTTAACCAGAAAGTAACAATTAAAGTAACATTCAGTTATGTCTTTGTGCATTCAGTACAGAGAGGTTTGGGATGTGTCAACATAGAGCCAGTATAAGTTCAGGTGCATGGTAAGGATGCCCCATGACTCCCTACATGTGCTGTCTATAACAGGTTTATAAAACACTTATGTATAATTAAAACGGACAATGACAGAACCTCCCGGGGCTGTTCTGTGCATACTGGTACTATATCTGGTAAACAGTCATTCCATGATTAACGCTGGGGTGTGTCCCAACAAAAGGTACTGTACTGCTCAGGTTAACAGGTGATCCCTCCTTTTTTCTATCAGTTCAACAGCAGTAACTTTCTGTCTTCCAGGAGAAATGGTAAGTCCCTGGTTTAACTACATATTGTGCAATATACAGCTATCAGACTGCAGTTTTCATCATACAGACTTAAAATAGCATTCATTCATATCTCTGCCATTATTCAACACATCTGTGGAAGAACCATCATTTCATAACACCTGTATAACATTTGCCCTTTCATCTGTTGCTCTGTTCTGAAATCTGAATTCTTTGCAAATTAAAGATAAACGAAAAAAGCACATGTACACAGTATTCAGCCTTTGCATACATACTTTAAATACTTTCTGGATGCACTTAAAATAGCCACTGAATGTGAACAAGAACAATTAGATTATTACTATAAAACAAGTTGCTTTTTTTCCCCTTCTGCCGACCACATCCTTTATTTCACTTTAAAAGCTCTGTAGTTGTCCCACCCTTTTTTTTGTTTTGTTTTTATATATAGTCTATGGTCCCTAACTATTACATGACTGATTTCATGCTCAGTTAATGTGATTTTCTTTAATAATGCCTCAACCATAAATGGGCCATGTGTACGTTTTTGGTCTGGGTGTATCTCAAGATAATCTGTAATTCAGAGATACGCAGACCGTTTTTATTCAAGCACTGTACTTATAAGTAGGCCTAAACAGTATTAGGCTATAGTAGTGAGACATTTTGGTGCTTCAAATTTTGAAAGCATCGCTTTTTAATTTAACATCAGGGATTAAACCCCAAAGGGACCGAGCAAGAGACATGAAATTACTAGGCTGGACATTTTTCCCCCACTGTGATTTGTCTGTTTCTTTCTTAGACAAAACTGAAGTTACTTTGCTGAGCTTTATGGAGCCTGAAACCGCCTGCTGCTGCTGCTTGCGGCTATAACATTGTAGTTGTATTTTTACATTTAAGTAAATTTGAAAAGCCTGCGTTTGATTTCATCACGCATAAAACATTCTGCTCTATGAGTCGTGTACGGCTGTATGTGTTCTTTCTATACAGTCTAGTTTCCTGTGGCATTTCCTCAAAAACGAAACTTGCATATCTACGCAGGCGCAGTGGGTGCCGTCAGCCAGCACAGCAGACAGCAACAGACGATATAAGAGAGAGATTGAGGGAAGTCACAGTAGTCATGCCTGCGTTTAACGTTGCTAGGTTTGACTTCTGAAAAAAAATCCAGACCAGGAAAGGGACAAGGCTGATTTCTTTATCCAAGGTAAGAACAATGATCACATTTTTAATTGTTTAGTGTAATGATTTTTACCTTACTCATCATAGTAGACCTGTGCTGCTGACGCACAAAAATAAATTACTCCCATGGTATGTAGCTCGGACGTTCCAGTGCTTCCAGAAGCACAGTCCAAACGGAATCTTTGAACTGCTATGCTAAATAACTGCATCAACGATGGACAATTGAACAATAATTAATACAATTAAATTACATTATTCCAGAAGACAATTAGGGGAACAACAATTACAATTTGGGAAAATAACAACAAAATCACATAATGTGGCTATAATGGTCCTGTACTGCTCAGGTTAACAGGTGATTCCTGCCTTTTTGTTTGGACTGCCTGAACTCTGTCTTCCAGCACAAATGGTCTTTTTAGGCTATCTAATAACACAATTCTTAAAAAAACAAATACATTTAAAGACTTCCTTATAAAAACATTTGTGTATCTTATGTTAATGTTTAAAAAATTAATATAAGCTGATATATTTCAAAACTAATAAATGTTGGTATCTGTATTGGCCTTAAAAATCCAGTATTGGTGCTGCTATGAGTAATTTCGATGAGGAGTGTAAGATTTGAGATGATAGTTAAAAAAATCCAGTGAGGTAAAGCTAACTGTAATTCCAGGTTGAAAGTTTCACCACAAGGTTAGATGCAATAAATCTGCCTGTGAGCCAGTTTCATTACCACATATTCAAGATGACAATGGACTGAATGTAACTGTATCAGGGCTGTCCCCGACTAAGGATTTACTTAGTGGAATCAGAATCGTCAAGTCCTGCCTATAGTCGACTGATAGTCGAATCATATGTGTTTTTTGCATGGCGATTGCGAGTGGGGGAGGTGGGTTTACGATTTACACAGGGTAGCTCCGCTTTAATCTTGAGAAGCTGCAGCGCTGCAGTCTCTATTCATTCAACTTGCACTGTAAATTTGAAGACCTTTCTCTGTCTCGGTCTCAATCTCTCGCCTGTCATTCACCGGTTTTGTGAAAGTTTTGCATGCATGCCGTGCTGCCGACAACTACATGCACATCGCGGTTCCTCGCGGGTCTATTTCAGTTAGCCGGCTATTTAAAAATTATAAAATATTATTTGTTTGGTTAATCAATGGTGATAAATTATCCGAAAGTAGTTAACACACACGCGCCCTACACATGCGCACTGACGACCCAGGGTTACAATTTTGGATTTATTCACGCACTTTAAAAACATTTGTTGGAAGTTTTATTCTTTTTACATGCTTATTTACAGAATTAAACATTGAATTGTATATTGTTACAGGCTGTATATTTACTTAGTGGGAGAAAACTGGTAGTTCTGTGTAATATCAGATGTTGAGCACTCCCATATAGCCAAAATGGCGTGATCCGTGTTTCGCTGCGAAGCTTTGACTGTGACTGACAGTCAAATCAGGTGTCGTGCCGAAAAGTGATGTTTGGTAGGCCTATGTGTAATATCTTTGTTTATATTTGTAGCCTACTTAACATGACTTCCTGCCAACTTAGATATAAAATGAAGACAATTTTGCAATTATCCTTATGACTGCATTATTTTACTTGCTTTGTAGGCTTACCAACCAATCCACTCTTTACCTGTTAAAATACTTTTAAATGGCCAATACAACTCATAAAATGCAGCATTTCACCTGCCAGAAAATGATTAAAGCCTTTTATTATTGACTGAAAGGTTATCTCTGCCCTGAAATTAGTTGATTTCATTCAGAAGAGTTATATTTGACAGATTATAACTCACCTAGTACTTTTTACCTCTTAAAATAAGTCTACCTTTAAATGGCCAATACAACCCATAAAATGCAGTAGGCTATTTCACTTGCCAGAAAATGATTGAAGAGACTGGGCAATACAGCTCCAGCAGACTGCAATCAGTTTTTGGCAGACGATCACTTTTCAGCACGACACCGGCTGTCGAAGCATCGGAGCGCCTGTCGAAGCATCGAATCTTCGACTATCTGCCTTATTTTCGAACGCGGAAGTAAACATGGGTCCAACTTCCGTTTTTTGTGCGGCACTTCCGTTTCATCGCTTCCCTGGGCTAACTAACATTAGCTTAACTAAATTGGTGAATTATGGGAACCGTGGGAACATTTCCAAAAATCGCTGATCAATTGAAATGGCAGGTCAGTGCCACACTCTCAAACTATTCACGGGTGGGAGGATGATATGAAGAAGTGGCCTAATATAACCTACGACAACATTTTTAACTATATCGTGTTGGCACTTGGTGCGGATGGGTCTACAATGTGCAATTACAAAAGAGCCTAAGTCACTCACTTCTGCTTCCGGCTCATGGGACCTAATTTCGGAAAAAATATGTACGGTTTATCCCATTAGAATTGAACCCTGAATTACACATATGATGTTGGTCAATTTAAAATATAATTTTGCAAGTCAAGAAAGTCGCAGTTTGTCGCAAACAGTAAAGTTACATGTCTTTTTGTGTGAAACTGCTCAACGAACTACATTTCTCGTCTCGCACAATATACGTCACCAACATATTAGCGCGGTAATGCTAGCTAACGTTCGTTACTTGGTTGCTACTAGCTGTATTACTTAGCTGTGTTCCATGCAGAAACATAGCTCACCTGATGTGTTTAATCCAACGACTCTCAGTCCTTTTATCACATCGTCCTCTCATGTAGGTTTTTTGACGTTAGCTTTAGAAACGTTAGCTCCAGTCATTGAGAGAGATAGTTACAACGTCACGTATGTGACTTTTGGGTTTGTGGTCTTTGTAATTATGTATTTTCAAAGCCTTATACCTCAACACTTTTACATCAAACTGCGACTTTCCTGATTTTAAAATGTATCTTTTAAATTGACAAACTTATGTGTGATTCGGGCATAATTCAAACGGGATCAAAATATTTGTTGTCTCCTGCCATTGACTACCGTACAATATTTTTCCGAAATAGAGAGCCTAAGTCCCTCCTCTTCCGTTAGACCACCATGGGACCTTATTTCGTAAAAATATTGTACGGTTGTCAATGCCCATTTGAATTGTGCCCTGAATTAGTGATGTGCAATACCACTTAATTCCTAACCGATCCAATACCAAGTGATACCCAGGCTGGTATTGCCGATACCAATACTTTTTACATATTTTATTTCTAGTTTAATGTGACCTCCCTCTCTCGTTTCTGTATTTATGAGACAAATAATGAGTAGACTGTAGCCTTACCAATTCAAAATAATAGCTGCATAATGACAAGACATCAAATTACATATATAATCATACATCATATTCTTTAATTATAATGAAAATCTCCTACTCAGAACTGCTGCTTCATAACATCATCATATTATTTTGACTTAATCTCAGATGTTTAGCAAAGTTTGCAGTGTTGCCAAAGTATTTCATAGTCTTTGCTCACACAACACACACAGCGTCATTATTACCATCACAGCTAAAATACAGCCAGACGTGACGTGTTTTTAAAGTCGGACTGAGTCAGTATTCAATCGCGGGAAATGTAAAGGGCTGTGGCGGCTCACTTCAAAGAAGCTCTGTCACAGAGCTGTAGCACAAGCATGACTTTGACAGGTGGAAGGAAAAGTAGTCCCTATCAACAGAGTATAATTAGACCATCCTGGTGACAGATGCTTATGATAAAACACACACTCACTCCAAATGACTGAGCTTAGATATCGATCCTTTTATATGCGTATCGATCCTAGAGCAGGAAACGTTGGTATCAGAAATAGATACTTTCGGATCGATCTGCACATCACTACCCTGAATTACACATATGATCTTTGTCGATTTAAAAGATACATTTTAAATTAAAGAAGGTCATAGTTTGATGTAAAACTGTTGAGATATAAGACTGTGAAAATCGTAATTACAAAGACCACAAACCCAAAAGTTGCATATGTGACGTAACTTTCTCTGTCAATGACTGAAGCTAACATCAAAACACTTACATGAGAGGATGGTGTGATAAAAGAGCCACAAGTTGTTGGATTAAACACATCAGGTGAGATATATTTCTGCGTGGAACATTATCTAGCTAGTAGCAAGAAAGCAATGACCGTTAGCTAGCTTTACCATGCTAACATGTTGGTGACGTATATTGTGCATTCGAGAGATGTAGTTCATTGAGCGGTTTCACACAAAACGACATGCAGCTTTACTGAACAAAATGTGACTTTTAAAATTTTAATTTGACCAACATCATATGTGTAATTCAGGGTTCAATTCTAATGGGATAAAAAGATGTCTCTCGCCATTGACTACCGTACAAACTTTTTCCAAAAATAAGGTCCCACGAGCCGGAAGCGGAAGTGAGAGACTTAGGCTCTCTATAAGGTCCCATGGTGGTCCACCGGAAGGGGAGGGAGCCCTAAACTGTGTAATGTTTTCTTTTGCAGATGGAAGGTGATAACAAGTGAACACCAGAGTTGATAATGTGACAAAAGGAGAAAGAAAATCATGGGTGAGTAGAGGTTGGTTTTTATGAAATGCCCCTTATAATACTTCATCCATCCATCCATCCATCGTCAACCGCTTATCCTGTGTACAGGGTCGCAGGGCTTTTATAATACTTACCTACTTCAAATGTATCTTGTAATTTTTCTTCTCTGCTTTTGAAAATATCAAAAATATTCCCTTGTGTGCCACAGGTTTGGCTATATGCAATAAAGCAAACAACAATAATAGACTTAATTAGTTTTCCCTTTTTAATGAAACTTTATATTTGTGATCTGTTTATATAGCTTCACCAATCAGTATTTAAAACAATCAGTCGGATGATTATGTGTATTGTGAAGGGGAGCACTCATGGTGTAGAATCCGCATTCATCACCTCTCTGCAGTTCCCTTCAACTATATCAGCATTTTAGTGTCTTTCAGCTAATTGTTTTTGTTTTTACAGTTCACAGATTTACTGTTTTTGGTTCATTCTCATTAATCTTATTTCCAGCCACAGTGAGCCACCAAAAAAGCAAAAAGAAAACAAATAAACACTTTGATACTATAGTATATAACTGTAATCCTTTGTTGACACCAGTAGAGCTGATCAAACAAGACCTAAGGTGTACCTTACTATCACACCGGGCTACTATATTATAAGTGTGTTAAACAGGATCCTGGGTTCTTAGCTGTTGATGGCGAGCTGGCTAAATATTCCCTGTTTACTAATATTCGGTACAGTGACTTCAGGCAGGATAAGTAGGCATAGACAACAACAATGTGTGTAAGAAAAATAATAGCGCGGTGCCTCCACTGTGGAACTACTAAGCTCACCTTAAGAACTGTACTGAAGTTCCCCAGAATAATGGTAATTATTTATAAGAAAGTCAAATATGAACAACAACAATATATAGCATGAAAAAAGCAAAAAACATTATTTATACTCTCCTGGTACTCTCAAACCCAAGGGTTTCCTTTGAAACACCTTCTTTTTTTTTATCAACCCAAACCACTGAAGTTGTAAGTTCAAAGTACCTTACAATGAACCCTTAATAAATTGACTTTCTTTAAAATAACACTTTCCTCTTTAGTTTCTCTTAGGATGGAATAGAAAAAATATTAAGCCGTGTGTGTGTGTGTGAGAACTGAATGAAAATAAATGTAACCTGTACAGGTATTAATAACAAAAGGGTGGTACCTTTTCTAGTATAATAGAGTCCAAGTACACACATCTGTACCATTACAGTTCGACTTTAAAATGTTCAAATTATTACCAAGCGCTTGGATTTGTAGACGTTGGGGCCCATACGGTGGTGCACATATAAAAGGGTAATCCTTTAACTCCCTGGTAGTACAGTTCAATGTTCAGAAAAGTCTCCCCTTACTCACGTGGCTCCGTCACCCCAACGCTCCGACAGTTCAAAGAATCCACAGGCTGGTAGACGATGCAGCAGAATGGCGAGGTGTAGTAGGTAGATGTCCGCGTGGCGTTGCAATTCCCGTAGTCGGGGTCCCTCCTCACAGCAGTGCTACTCAGCAGGCTAGCTCCCACGGCTCCACTTTCTCTCTAGTTCTCCGGTAAAAAAACTGCGCTCGTTGGTTGTCTACGCTGGTTGTCTCTCACGACAGTTCAAGCTAATGTCCCTCTAGTTTAAAAGTCCGACAGTTTGCACTTTTACACTGTTCTCTGTTATTACAAACACGAGTGGGGACTGACCAAGCTACACTTATCACTTTCACTGGAAAAAAAAACTAACGACTAAGCCTGCTACGACACATAAATTACCTGCAAGGTAATATTTGTGCCCATACATGTGTACTTAAGTCTACAAATATTAATTCTCTCCGAGTTCAACTGAAAGTTTTACCACACATCGATACACAGCCGCTTGTCTCTCGAACCTGCGTCTTCTCTCGTTCTTTTGCTTCCGACTATCTTTTTCTACCCTCCCCTCAAGTGATCTCTAATTGGCTCAGTTTACAGCAATCAAAACAAACTGAAATTACATTGGTTAAGTTATCATGACACTGGAATTCACGAAGAGCAAAGCATCATGGAAGGTGTAATTTTCCCATTAAAGATCCCACATGTAAAGAAACAGTCCTTTCATTTAACTGTATTTAGTAGGCCCCTACCTATCTATATACTACCTGCCCAGCATCAAACACTAGACAGACAAAGTTAGTGACTGGTGAACCTGGTTGAGCATTTAGCAGTTAAAGAGCCTGATATTTCCATCAGGACCAGACCAAAGCTAACAGAGTAGACAGAAACATGAATCCCATTGAAGGCTACCATCGCTCTGTGTCCTTCTGTATGTGTACGTAGGTAATTGTTTGCTAAAATGGTCACCATATCAATTTCATAAGGTGATAAAATGTCATGGTTGTTTTTACAGCTTGTTCTGCTGTCCCCAAGAGGCCAATTCATTAGTCCATTAAAGATGAAAGATTTAAGTCTTCAATAGGAATAATTGGTCTTGGGGCCATATTCCACAGACAGCATAGGGGAGTTGGAAAGTATTGAGATACTGACTAACACATTGTTGACTTTGGACTTTGTAGAGTTTGTTGACAAAAGGCAAATATGCATTAAGTGTGGAAGAGAACTATAGTGTTTCTCTGATTCTGTTATTTATAATCAAACGTATTGCTTTTTTCTGTCTGTTCCCACTATACAGCTGACAAACTTGGGCAATCACTCCAGAATTGGACTGAATCTCAAGTAAGCACCTGGCTAAGATCCATTGGAGTTAAGGAGCAGTATGTTGAAAAGCTCTTTGATGAAGAAGTAGATGGACAAATCCTTCTTGCACTGAACGAGGACTTTTTAAAGACAAATATTTGCATGAAATCAGGGCCTGCTCATTTGATTATTCAAAAGAGAGATGAGCTTATCAACTCCCAACCAAAGTCGCAAGAGAAGAAAAAGCTCACCAGTGGCAACAAAACTGAGTTGGAACAGAAAAAGATTGATCAGAAGTCGGTTCTATGTCTTTCTACAACAAGTGAAGGTTCTCTGGCACAGAGTTCAGAGAGAGATCAAGATATCTTAAAGGAGAGACCAACTAGTCAGGAACAATGTGTGTTGACTTCAAAGGAAGACTGCAGACCACGACCATTTGATCAAGAAGGAATTGATTTCATATATGTAAAGCACAGAGTTCTGCAGCCTGAATCAGGTGCTTTTAATCTGACATCTCCATGCCATGAATTTAAGTCTTTTTCTGTAGCTGCTACACTGGATCGCACAAGACTCCAAGCCAAGTTTGCCAAAGAGGTTCTTAAATTTGCAACGGGCTGTATGAATATCAGATCAAATGGCACAATACACGTTGGAGTGATGGACAGCAAGGAGGATGCAGGGTATGTGCATGGTGAGATAATTGGTATACCTGTAAAAGAGAAAGACATTTATGTAGATGCTTTGGACTACATTGAAAGGAGTTTCTCCTCTGACAAAGAGCATGTACGACAGTGTGTGCGGCCACCAAGGTTCATTGAGGTTATGGATCGAGAAAGTACAGAAAAGAAGTATGTGGTAGAAGTTGACATTGTGCCTTCCATAAGTATCGTTAAGAGCAAGGTGTATGCAGTTCGTCTGCCAAACTTCAAAGAGTCAACTAACAAAGTAGAATTTGAGAAAGAAGCGATTCTACGGAGGGTGGGCTCAAAAACTGAGCCAGTGAACGACAAAGACCTCAGTGATTTTTACCAACGAGTCAAAGATCGGGATGCTCAAAGAGAAGAAGCAGAGAAAAATCAGTTCCTCAGTGCTCCAGACTTCTGCAAAGACCTTGGAAGGAAACTCACAATGCTAATGACTAGTGGGAAGAAATTCATTGAAAAGGAGAAATGGTTCATACTTGTCACAAACAAATTCATACCTGATGACCTTTGCAACATTGACTGGCTGCTTAACATGAACATGTTCTGTGTGTTTGACTTTGACCCAGACTCAAAGACATCGGGTCTTTGCAGTAGATATCTTCAGCATCACGCTGCAAACATGCATTCTCTGCAGAGCTACAGGATATCTGGTGACATGAGCATCAACGAATTCACAAGCCACCTGCATCTTTTTGAACAAACTAGCTGGATCTTTTGTAATGGCCGTACTGACTTCAAAGGAAATGAAACTCCATGTGATGAAATGACTTGGATCAAGACAAAAATGACTTTCCTGCGGGAATCTGTGTCTTTGATCTGTAAACAAATTTTGCCAAAAGGGACGTTCCAGGTCATTTTTCTCCTTACATCATCAGTTGAGAAGCCACTCTTGCACACTTTTTATGAGTTTTTCACAGACATGGAAGGCCATGAAGACATCATCTGCATCTGTGAATCACAGGGAAACTTCCAGAAGTGGCAAAGCTTTGCAGAGGGGTCATGTGGAACAGAAACTGTGAATAATTCCAGTGTTGTTGGGATGAAAATGAGCCACATTAATGCAACTCTGCAGCAGATACAACCTGTTAAAGCATGTGCCAGCAAACACTTGCCTGTGTTTGTGAAAGGGACATGTCTACTTGAAACACATCAAGAGGAACAGATGTATTCTCTGGAAATTCTGACAGTCGATCATTGTGATGAAACAAGCAAAGACTTCATCGATGAGGAAAAAGCAAACATTGAACAGCAGTTCTACCGTGGTGGGAGAGTGAACTGGTTGCATTTCTGGCTTGCTGAGCACAAGTATGTTGGAGAAGTAATTGAAAGAGATGCTCATCATGATGTTTCCAAACTTCTCAATGATGCCTTGAAACGGAATGCAGATCAAACTCCGGTGAACAGTATAAACATCTACCATCATCCAGGAAGTGGTGGAAGCACTGTGGCAAGACAAGTGCTGTGGAACAACAGGAAAGATCTAAGATGTGCAGTTGTGAAGCCTTCATACTCAGCTGCTCTTGTTGCACAACATACAGTTGAACTAAGAGAATATGAAGAAAAAGATCCACAGAGGTGTCTTCCTGTGCTACTCCTCATTGAAGACTCTGACAAAGAATATCTAGATGATCTCAGGAATGAACTAGAAGTTGCCATTAACATCAAAAGAATCCAGTATGGAACTCTCTGTTTCATTTTGTTGAGCTGCAGACGGTCCCATGATCCAGAGAGGAGATGCAAGGAGTCTCCATTACAGAATGTGTCTGTCACTCACAAACTGTCTGATCAAGAGAAGAGAAAGTTTTCTGGAAAACGACAGGCACTTGAAGAACAATATGAGCCTGAATTCATTCTGACATTTGTTTTGATGAGTGAAGGATTCAATGTGGATTACGTTCAACAGTTTGTGAAACATTTGCTCCAAGGTATTGACCGTCAATCTGTTGTCACTCAACTCATTCACTATGTGGCACTGCTGAACACTTATGTTCAAAACTCTTTCATCTCTCAGTCCCATTGTGAAGCTTTGCTTGCCTTAACCATTCACATGGAAAGGTTTCGCCATCATGACTTTGAGAGATCACTCAGTGATCAGGCTAAATTAGTCTTTTTGCACCTTAGAGATGACAAGACGCACATTGAATCAATCAGAATCATCCACCCACTCGTTGCAAAGGAAATTCTCCAGCAACTTTTGGGGAACCAGCAGACCCAAAGCAGTTTGGCAATGAATTTGCTCTGTGAGACTGTGCTTTTTGAGCACAGATTTGGAAGGGACGAGTATCTATCATTTTTGAGAGCACTTTTTATTAGGCGAGCCAGAATAAGCAAAGGGGACAAATATGATAGTTTTTTCTCTCCTCTGATTGAGCATGTTTGTGAAAATGAGAAAAGCCCAGACACAGCAATTGAGTTACTCAAGGAAGCATTCCAGCGTTTCCATAAAGATCCATTCTTTGCACAACAACTTGCTCGTCTTCATTATACTTATGAGAAGTTTGAAGAGGCAAAACACTGGGCAGAGACTGCAGCTAAACAGCTGCCCAACAACTCTTACATACTTGACACAAAAGGGCAGGTGTACAGGAAATGGTTCCAAGCAAAATGCAAAGCTATTGACAACGACAATGTACCAAAGACAGCTGAAAATATAGCAGATGCTGTGGAGACGGCACTGAAAGCCCTGGAGTGTTTTAAAGAATGTGAGAAAGCAGCTGATGCAGATATGGAAAACCTTAACAGTTCAGGGTTTTTTTCTGAAGTTGAGGTTGGATGCAGCCTGCTCAAACTGATCTCTTCATCGCAAGTGTTTGCAAACAGAGCAAATGGCCATTCAGAGTGTATGAAGTACCTGTTAACAGATTACATTCCTGAGGAAGTTGAAGATGCCTGGGAACCATTTCATGGCCGTTTGAAAAAACTTAACAAAACAATGCAAGATGCATTGGAATGGATTTCAGAAGACCTCAGTTACTTCCAGACTGATGTTGGTGCAGATGAGGAAGAGACCCCTGAAAGTCCTGAGGAGAAGATAAGCCATCCACTCACATGGTTGGCAAAAAAATCTTCAGAGTATGGAAAGTACTTCAGTGAATCTCATCCCACAGCAGTTCATGGTCACTTAAACCCAGCCAATCTAACTCCTTTCCAGAAACGCATGATCATCTATCATCTTGGCGGGGGGAACATAACATCCATCCTCTCGAAGTTAACTGACCAGAGAAATGCGGTACCTCTTCTGGAGAGCATCCTTTCTCTCTATCCCAGCAATCCAATAAAGGCCAAATTTGGTCAAAGGGATATTGTCAATTACATAGTGGCCCACATTTCTCTAAACTGCCTGTCACCACAGACTCGAATGGTAGCTCCTCTGAAAGATCTACAGGCACTTTGTCGTCAGTTCCCATCTGATAAAAGGAAATGTTTACCAAGTGCCCTGTTCTTGCTTACTTTGCTATTCTGGCCAGAGGATCATGACACTGACCTTGAGAAAGAAAACAAATATGAAATTGTGCAATCGGCTGTTGAACACCTGGAAAAGGGCTACTGGACCAAGATGAAGGACATTCCTCAGCGTAAGAGAAGGCTTTACACCCATTTTTTTCTGGGTAGTGCGAATGGATTGGATAAATTTGTCCACAAAAGAAAGTTTGAAAGAGTCACAAAGCTGTTCTCAGTCTCTGAGAAACGCATGAAGTGGTTTAGGGGAGAGGCATGGAAAAAGCCTGAGCTCGCCATGATGCTGAAACGTGTGTCTGGATGGACTGAAGATGGAGTGGTGTACCTTGAGGGCCCTCGGAAAAAGAAGTTCAACATTCTGCCTCTTCATGTACCTTCAGTGCCTCATAGTAATGAAAACATCACATTCTACCTGGGGTTCACCTTTAGAGGTCCTGTTGCCTGCAACATCATTGTGAAAAATTAGTTTATCATGGAACAATGATCGTTTGACATATGGCTGGATGTCAGCTTGCTGAAGAGTGGGACTAGAATCCACCACACTACCAAGAGCAACAACAGATAATGAAAAGATCAACTCAAAATACTGAAGCCTGCTTATTACATTTTATCAAATAGGCAATATTTGTAAATTATGAAACTGAAATGTTGTGGCACATGGTGTGGCATGAGCACTGTATTGTCTTGTAAGATAGTTATTTTTGCATGAACATGGACTATGACAGAATTGACTCTGGATTCCCAGAGTTATAATAATGTAAACTGAATTTGCTACTCTATAGCTCGAAAATAGAAACTTTAAATCCCAGTTTAGACATATACCTAGTATCCTCTTATTTTTAGATTGTAGATCCAGTTCAGATAGACCAAGCAATGGAATTAAATGCAACTATTTTGGGAATGGGAATTTATTAGTCTTTGACAATAAAGAGCTAAATGGCAACACTTTGTATGGTTAGAGAAGAATGTGTATACATGTTGATATGCGATGGAGAAATAACAAGTGTGTTAAGTGGTTTGTATAGTCAATGAATATACTTGGATGAAAACCTGCTTGTTCTTAACACGAAAGTACAAATGAAACCAGTCAGGCTACAGTGCATACCTATGATTTTATTGTTATACTTTTTATATTTTTATATACTTTTAAATGGGATGTATTTTTGATAGTAATATGAAGATGTCTGTAAATGTTAGTGTCCTTAAATATATATAAAACGTAATAGAATACAATAAACCCTTTTCTTTTTCAGTTTTAGTTTTATGTTGTCATTCCTTAAAACAAACTACACTGGTGTTTCAGGTTAAACTGGTGTGCTCTATTTAGAAGATATGAATTTATATGCAGACTTTAATGGCAGACTTTTTAAGGCAGACTAGGTAGGCCTCTACGTTTTTTAACACTGTCCTAAGAACTTGAATATTTTCAAAAAACCCTGATTGCAACTTTGTAGTGGAAGTAAAATTATGATTATTATTAGGGTTTTTTTCCCAGTAATTTGTTTCAAAGGTGAAGGGCAAGTGCCTGATTATCTTTTTTTATTTTACACATGGGAACACTCAAAAGAGCTTTTTCTTTTCACCTTTTCAACATGATACCTACTAGATATGTTGGGGCTACACCATGTAGCTTTAGAAATTATTAAATGACCTGAAAACCAGTGTAATTGTGCAAAACCTAATTTGGAGACATTTCATCAACAAAATATGTGCAAACAACTTTTTGTTGTTAAGAGTAAAAAAAATCGTCCATGTTAATGGTTGTGGTTTTGATATTGGTTCAACACATGAGGGAATTTTCTGTGTCAGTGTATGTACCCCAATTTATTTAGCGTTTGGTCATCAGATTTACAGGTGTCCATATTAAGTGTGTTTGACTTATAGTTTTAATTAGACTAGCTAATGGGACATTAATATTTCTGCAGCATACTGTGTTCAAAATGGTTTTTGATTTAGAACTCGATCATCAGTACAGTTAATTAAGGGATTTTGGAGGTCAATTCAACAACAAAGTATTTAAATCTGAAATGGTGAAAAGCTACATTCTAAGTAATTGTGATGTTGTGTTATTAGTCTATCAGGAAATCAAGCATCACGTTAAGGATCTTGATTTAAATAAATTTGAAAGCATTTGTTGATCTAGCCTATACATTTTGTTTTCTTGAATTAAACTTTTTATGTTTATCATGACTGAGATGACATTGTTATTGTATTTGCTCATTCACAAAATTTAGGAAAAAGGTGCTGTGACTAGAGAGGGGAGATTATAAAGACTCAGGTGCACAGTCACAGAGACAGAATATATTACAAAACTCCACTGACTTCCTACCATAAAAAACATTGAACAGCTGCTAGTTAATGTAGCTAGTCACAGTACAAATGTATTTAGTTATCCTAATGTTACACTTGTGAGCTGTCTGTTATTTCCTGTGTCTCACTTGGCCCTGACTCTTCCTACAACAAATGTTTGTAAACACAGAACTGTCTTCAGTGCAAACTCTGATGACATGCCATTGGACTAACCAAGTCTTTTTACTACGTGAGTTTTAGAATACACTGTCTATACATCCATACAACTTACAGTGAGGGAAAAAACTTATTTGATCCCCTGCTGATTTTGTACATTTGCCCATTGACAAAGAAATGATCAGTCTATAATTTTAATGGTAGGTTTATTTGAACAGTGAGAGACAGAATAACAACAAAAAAAATCTGAAAAACGGATGTCAAAAATGTTATAAATTGGTTAGCATTTTAATGAGTTAAAGAAGTATTTGTCCCCTCTGCAAAACACGACTTAGTACTTGGTGGCAAAATCATTGTTGGCAATCACAGAGGTCAGATGTTTTTTGTAGTTGGCCACCAGGTTTGCACACATCTCAGGAGGGATGTTGTTCCACTCCTCTTTGCAGATCTTCTCCAAATCAGTAAGGTTTTGAGGCTGACGTTTGGCAACTAGAACCTGTAGCTCACTCCACAGATTTTCTATGGGATTAAGGTCTGGAGACTGGCTAGGCCACTCCAGGACCTTAATGTGCTTCTTTTTGAGCCATTCCTTCGTTGTGTGTTTTGGATCATTATCATGCTGGAATACCTATCCACGACCCATTTTCAATGCCCTTGCTGAGGGAAGGAGGTTCTCACCCAAGATTTGACGGTATATGGCTCCGTCCATCGTCCCTTTGATGTGGCAAAGTTGTCCTGTCCCCTTAGCAGAAAAACACCCCAAAAGCATCATGTTTCCACCTCCATGTTTGACGGTGGGGATGGTGTTTTTGGGGACATAGGCAGCATTCCTCCTTCTCGATACACGGCGAGTTGAGTTGATACCAAAAAGCTCGACAATGGTCTCATCCGACCACAACACTTTCACCCAGTTCTCTGAATCATTCAGATGTTCATTGGCAAACTTCAGACGGGCCTGTACATGTGCTTTCTTGAGCAGGGGGTCCTTGCGGGCGCTGCAGGATTTCAGTCCTTTACAGCGTATTGTGTTACTGTTTTCTTTGGGACTACAGTCCCAGCTAGTTTGAGATCATTGACAAGATCCTCCTGTGTAATTCTGGGCTGATTCCTCACTGTTCTCATGATCATTGCATGGAGCCCCAGACCAAGGGAGACTGACAGTTTGTTTTGTTGCTTTGTGTTTCTTCCATTTGTGACAACCGCACCAACTGTTGTCACCTTCTCACCAAGCTGCTTGGCGATGGTCTTGTAGCCCATTCCAGCCTTGTGTAGGTCTACAATCTTGTCCTTGACATCCTTGGACAGCTCTTTGGTCTTGGCCATGGTGGAGAGTTTGGAATCAACAAATATGATTAGGAGCACTCCCTGTAAGAGTGTGCTCCTAATCTCAGCTCGTTACCTGTATAAAAGATACCTGGGGGCCAGAAATTGGGTCAAATACTTATTTCACTCGGTCTTCTTCCTCTTAAAATACGGTGTGAACATTTTAACTACTATTAAATTGTTTATGGACACATAGCAGTGACACATACACATCAGGACCCAAGTTTTTAAGGCCAAGAATGGTCACAGACAGGGGCAAACAAATGGCCCAGGAGAATTTTATGCAAGTAGAGTACATAACTAAATGAGCCTTTAAAATAATTTTAAAAACTAGAAACTCCTATCCTTGTCCTTGAGTACAATAAATGAAAAATAAATAAGCCATATCATCATCAATCTTACCATAAACTGGTGCTTTGGGCTGTTCTTTGCCTGTTTTGCTATTGCCCTCATCTTGCCCTATTGCTGTCTGTCTCATGTTCACCATGTCAGCGCTAGTACTGGTGCTGCTGGCCAGTGGCGGGTAGAGTATAACCTACTCAAAATTACAAAATTTACTCAAGAAAAAGTACAATTACTCTATCTATAGGCTTATATATTTAAATATATATTTCATATGCTGTGCAACAGGTCATTTCCAGGGAATGCAATTGGCTTTGTTTGTTGATTATCTGCAATTTAGCTGTTTCTGCAGTTATTTTCCTTTTTCCTTATCAATTATCAATCAATATTGATAAGGAACCTTATCACTTTAAAATATCACACTTGCTGCCCAGCCTACTGTTGCTGCTTGTCTCTTTAATTGTGAACATGTACCCAACCAAACCACTTTCTTTGCAATAACACAGGTAGACAATACAATCTCATTATTCCAAAAGCATCTATGAACATAATCTTTAAAACGCAAAGAAGTATTGAGGCAGTAACACGGGAGCAGCTCCTTGTTGAATCATTTATGTGCCACCACATCGGGGTGTGTGGTCTGCATTAAACAGGAAGTTGATCCCAAAAAACAGGAGTTAATAGAAATGAAATAGGCTTCAGCTTGATTTCAATATAAGGGTAAAACATTTGATGACTAATATACTGTAGATTTAAATGATATGCAAAACATGTATGATGTGATAGTGTACCAAAATACAAATATTTTGTTTGGAAATTATGTTTACATTTTTTAAATTATGACATTTATTTGCTGCCTCAAATTACCCAACGTGTTGTGGTAATTTGGGACAGCATGTTTCAGATATATTGGGACAGTGTTAAAAGGCTATTAAAATGAAATTTTTCACTAGTGTGGATTCATAAAACCAGATATACAGAGGGACCACTCATGTATGTCAACATAGAACCACAGAGATGTAACCTACAGGCAACTTTTAAGTAGATAGAGTAAGATGCTATTGCTAATGATGCTAATCCCCCACATTGTCTCTAGAAGGCCCTTGGTCAAATTAGCTTATTCCAACAATCTTCTGACAATGGTAAACAATAAAGCAAATGTTTAGTATGTTTAATGTGTTAGTGCTGTAACATACAGTATACAGTAATTAAGTCTAATCAAGAAGCAATGCTGATGCATGCAGGCGTTTGCTACTCACTTTGTTTAATATGTGGATTTATTCTTATGATAAATTTAAGGTCTGTTGCAGAATAGAACAACAAGAAACAGACATAAATAAAATAAATGTTTGACAACATATTGGAATCTTTAATGATTTTAACATCTTAATCAAAAGTCTAGCCTGTTGACATTTGCTGATTTAATAATGAATTAAGCTATCACAAACAACTATAACAAATGATAGGCTAGATATCATGTAACTTTAGACATATGTGTTTAAATTTATTTTATTTTAGTTATGGTTAAGAAATAAGTTTAAAATCCTTTTTGAAATATGTCAATAGGTTTAATTGCACTAATAAAACTGTGTCCCAAATTACCAAACATGTTCGTGAAAATGAGTTTTGTGTCACTGAGACATGACTACTGGCAATGTAGACATCAGGAACTATGAGGGACGGCCCTGGTAGACGTCAGTTGCCAGATCTCGCGATAAACAAATTGGCCACTTTTACACGAGGGATACGTTACGGCCTTTCAGTGAGCAACTGACCTGTCTTCATTATTTATCTACATTATTTGTTAACATGTGTAGGAACCGTGACATTTCAGCGGGTAACAGTAGCCTATAGAATGAGGCACGTTGTGGTTAGCTTAACATACAAGTGTAACTTAACATTACTGTAACTCCATGATAACGTTACCCACGTGTTTCCTTGTGCCCTCAAAAACCCTTACATTGTATTATCTGAATTCAGAGGGGGTGAACATGAAACATGTGCAACCTTACCGATTATAATTTGTTATGAAAGCCACACATATATTTTACTCACTAGATCATTATGATATGAAAATATAAGTTTTTTTACTTTTGACTTTTGACTTTTTATTTATTGCAAATTATCCAGCATACAGTCACAACAATAAATATTCAGAACACTTACATTCACAGCACATAGCTCTGTCAAAAGAATAAAAGCAGCTTTCCCAATTGTCTATTTGGTTGTTCTAATGCAACATGATGGTTAAAACAAGGGTCAGTAATAAGGGCTTTTAAATTAAAAAGATTTTTTTTTTTTTTTTACCTTCATTAGAATGATAATTAGAAATATATGTATGTTTTCATTTAAAATCATTTGTTGATAGTAGTCATGTCTTAACAAAATAGAGACCCATCTGTTGATCTTGCTGCATCAAGCAGCTTAGATGAAAATCTAGTTTTGGATGTAGCCAACCCATTTATTTTGTCATTATTTATGTTTTTATTACTGCATGTTGTTAAAATAGTTTGTATTTTCATATAAACTGTTTTGTATTTACAATATGTTATCAATAATTCCTTTATATTTTCATCATGTTGTATTATCTTAAGTTGTCTATGTTGTAATCCTTTTTCTTAATGAAATCTTTATATTTAATTTGTTTGTACAGATTACCATTCATGAGAATGTTTGAGTAAAAATCCTTTAGCCACTATTCTGTTGTCTATTAGAGGTAGACATGTAGTCATTCAAAAGCTGTGTACTTGGTCTATTCTTGGGCTATGGTTAGAAATCTATTAACTTTTCACTGACAGCCCAAATTCAACCTTGCTAACCTAGACCCATTTTCCACATCTAATACACGTCTGTATGTACCCGTTCAATGGTGGTCTGATTGATGACTAGACTACTTTTGGGCCGTGGTTAGACGTCTACCAAACTTTCACTGACAGCCCAAATTCAGCCCTGTTTTAGCCAAGACGTCTGGGCTCTGTGTAGACGTCTATTAGACGTCTTTTAACCGTGAACTTGCTTGCTGGGTTATGTCTGATGCGGAGTGTGTGACTGACAACTCAGTCGTAGTAAACCGCCTCGGCTATGAGCCAACTCCGAAATCGCGGGAGAAAAGTGAGGGAAACAACATAGATTTTAAAATGTGGGGGGGGACATGAGGCGAGAAGACTTACAAGATTCCCTCATGGAGAAACGGAGTAAAGTAACTGTGTGTGTTTGACTTTTGAGGGAGATTTGCCCTAGAGGGTAGGCTATATTAAGATTATATAACCTATGTCAAGTGGTGAGTCTTTATTAAAGAGTTCCATTAAGGTGCGTCAGTTGTCAGGATTGTAGAGGAGTCAGAAGTTGTAGGAGGAATGTGAGGAGTGTGTCGTGAAGAGGAGCAGGAACAAGTAAAGTGCATTCACTGTGCGGGAAATCACCATGCGGGGTCAGCATGTCTGGAAAAATAAAACAAATAGCCTGTAGCTATACTGGTCCCAAGAAATAATGGCCACGCATCATACAGATGTCTTCTGAAGATTTATTTTATCGTAACTCTCTCCTTCGTCAGCAGACACCGTGAAAACTACAAGAAAATAAAAGACATACAGCTTAAAACATTCACCTCACATTCACTTTAAGGCCTTTCAAGCTAGTGTCCATTGATAAACAGGCCCAAACACATTAACACAAGCGAAATGCAATGAAATCATACAATATAACCAAACAAAAATATTGTCCACCGTAAAGTACACCAACAAGTACCATACACCAAGGTAAACAAATGAAAGGCAATTACCGTGTGCGCCTCTTGAACCAAGTGCAGAATACGGTCATTTTGGAGCTTTATTTCGTTCCTCTGCATGCTCTGCTCTGCCTCCACATTGTCTCTTACCCATAATGCCATGGTTATGCCCTTATCTTAACTATGTTCATGTGACCCATTTCCCATTACTCTCTGTTGTTCGTTGAAATAAACCTTACATAAAAGCACAACATTTTTAACAGTATTTAAATTAAAGACATTTTTGTGAATTTTACCCCTTTTAATGTTACCCCTTTTAACATCTTCACATGTTTTTCCTATTTTTAAATGGCTGTATGAACTCAAATATTCATGAACTTCCACATACAAATATACAAAATAGACATTTCAATTAAAACATGTCTTTGAGACAGTTACATAGCCTAAAAGTGAATGAAATCAGATCATCAGAAGAGGGTTTGTCATGCCGAAGCTATCGAGAGACTGCAAAGAAATGATGAACGGCCAGCAGTGCAAAAGGAGCAGGAATGGGGATGAGCAGAACATGGTATGCATGGACAAGAAGCAATTTCTGGCATAATTTCTATGGTGTTTTGATTGTGCTGTGGAAATTAAGAGCAAGTCAGAGAGGATGAAGACGGTGTGTGATGCTGACACTGCAGACATAGCATATCAGGAGAAGAAACTCTGAGGGAAGGAGTTACACCATCTCAGACCATTGAGTCTGAGTCATAAAACGGACAATGCATTGAATGGGAGTATTTTGGGTGAGCACTGTAAATTTATTGCACTGGGAAAACTAAATCATCCAGAAGGTGACGGTAATGCAACATTTTGGATGGCAACCGCCGTAAAACCACAAAGAAGAAGAAGCACTTTTGTCCCAGTGTGCTTGCCCTAGTTTCATGTTCGACCGTTTGCCTTGTCTTAAGAAAGACGTTATGCAGCCTTCACTCAAATTCAGCTTATTCTGCTGCTTTGCAACACAACTATTTTCCTGTCACTGCTTGCACGTAATTTGTGTTGAGGGAAATGCTAAGAAATACCTCCGACCCCTGAATAGCTTGATAGCTAACTGCTAACTAATTCAGCTGTCAATGACACTTGGGCAGTGAAACACGGTTCAGCGTGCACAAAATGAACAAAACTGTGAGTGGCTATTGAATCTCCGTTAGCTATTTATTCACTACTGCGCTCTGTGAAACGTACAACGCACTCTGCTATTGAATATTTACACCATAAGAAGCACAAGGCGTGTGTAACTTTATCTCTGATGAGGGTAATGGGGCTGCTGTCTAACCTTACTGGAGCTGTGCTCCTCCTCGCCTCTGCTTTGACAGTATGTTTGTACATCGACCACTTTTTCATGAACCATGAAAACAGACTTGTTAGATCAGTCTATGCTAAGCAACACAAAAATACAGCACACGAAAGACTTGTTAATAATAATCCAGCAAAACCACAGAACAATTCAGTGGAGACCAAAGGAGGCCACCCAGAAAGCTCCCATGAGACTGACATTTCCAGAGACAGTAAATGTATCATGGCCCCAGACAGCCGGTTTGACTGTGGCAGGGACAGGGTTCTCAGCCAGACAGAGTGTGAAGAGAGGGGATGCTGCTACGTCCCTCTGCCTGACTCTGCAGGACCACCTTGGTGCTTCTACCCCAGTTTGTACCCTGGCTATAAAAATGGGTCCCTTCACACCCACCACGCGAGGCCAGGCTGCCACCCTGACTCGTGCCACCCCCTCCTATCTCCCCAGAGATATCTCTATGCTACACATAGAAGTCATAGAAGAGACTGCCGGCTGCTTACACCTCACTGTGAGTACGCAATACTCATACTCAAAATTTTTTCCCTCTGCAACCATTTAAAAAGACACAATGAAAGAAATATACAGGGTCCTTTTAAGCTCCCTGTTGATTTGCATGGTAAGTATAGATTACTGTAATGTAGTTGTGGAATAAATTATACCATGCCCATCAAGATTTCAAAACATTCAGGAGGAAAACCGATTGTGTGATTGTGTTATATTGCACATACTCATTTACACTGAAATATTAAGGTGTACAGATGATCAAACATTGGAATGGTTGTTTATTTTTGTTCAGTTTACTTTGATTCAAAAGCCTGTGAAACAAAAAGTAGACACATTTCTTCAGTATTACGTAGTAAATGTCTTTTTCAGTGATTTATAATTTTGTTGTAGACAATTAGATTTGAAGATCTGATTGTGAAAGTTTCTCGAGTTGATTTTTGGTATTTTCTGCCTCTTTTTGTAGTATTGTTTGAAAATATAGGCGACACTCCGAATCTGGTTTATAGGAATTTGTGGTGTGTTTGAAGCCCATGTGGGCTGAGCATTTTGTGTGACTGACTAAAAAAACTTCATTAATTCGTTCATATGTATGAATCTGTAAACAGATATGTGTTTTCTCTCTAGTTAAAGGACCCAACATCTCAGCGGTATGAAGTTGAGCTCCCAGCTGGTGTTCATCAGAGCAGAGCTGATACCCAAGATGCCTTCTACACCACCGAATACCGGTCTGACCCGTTTGGCTTCATAGTGCGGCGAAAATCCAATGGCAGGGTGATGTGAGTGGTTGTGTTCAGTTTAAATCTGTGTACATATATAGATGACATCATAGTAACGTTTGTATAGCCTTACCTGCTACGTCCATTATGATCAGTGACTTACTTACTCATACTCAGTCAGCTTGTTGCCTGTTCCCACTGTTATAGTCCCATTTTCTGCAGTTCCACAGTTAAGTCATTAATTTATTTTTTCTCCTTATATTTATTCATGTGTATATTTTATTGGGTTTGTGGTATTTATGTATTTATTTATATGCAGTACATTTTTACAATAACATAATGTAATCCAACACAACAGCTCAGTTATAAATTCTACCTTTACAAAGGTATATAATATTCAGTTTGATTTACACTGTCAAGGAGATATTTATCCAACTAAATGTTTTATATTTAGGTTGTTGCATAATTAACACTTCCCTGAAAGGCCATAAGAAGCTTCATAAAGGAAGAATATTATCTCTTAAGTCTGTGTGAAATGACCGATTTGCTTAATCATGATCCTCATGTAATGCATGTTTGTTTGTTTCCTGTGTCCTGCCTGTCCAGTATGAATACCACCGTTGCTCCTCTGCTGTTTGCTGACCAGTACCTGCAGCTGTCCACCACACTGGCCTCTTCCCTTGTGTCTGGGCTTGGGGAGCATTACACCTCCCTCCTTCTGGACCTTAACTGGACAACACTGACTCTCTGGAACAGAGACATGGCGCCTCATGTGAGTCTGTTGCTTTGGCTCTCAACCTGAGGGAAGGGACCCCTCAAGAGGTCACAAGAAAAATCTGAAGGGTCAAGATATAATATATTCCTCCTGCGCACATTGTTTTAACAAATCTTTTTCTAATATCTGTGAGTGGATAGTTTAACCCCTTGTAGTTACAAAAACCTGAATGAAACAAAACTTAGAAGAAACTTAAAATCAGACAAGAAATATCAAACTCAAAGACATATAATCTTTGACAAGGGGTTGCAAGCTGTCATTTCATCGCTCTAAAGGGCCAAAAGCCTTGTTCTATGGAACATGTCAGTGATAGCCATTATGCAAAACACAACCATCCCCTCCTTTTAATTTATAGCATCAAGCTGCCGTCTGCAGAACAGTCCTTGTTAAGCGGGGAATGTTGACTCTGTTTCTACAGGCTGATGCTAACCTCTATGGCTCCCACCCATTCTACATAATACAGGAGGAGGACGGCTTGGCACACGGAGTTTTCCTTCTCAACAGCAATGCAATCGGTACCGAGCTATCTCTTCAAATAAAACACACGCAACAGGCCGCTACCATTTCTTTTGCCTTCACTTTCTATGCAGAATTATTGTTTGTAGCACATGAGAATGTTATTGCTAAATATCTTTCCAAATGTCTCTGTAGAGGTGATGTTGCAGCCGACCCCCGCTCTCACCTGGGTGGCTATCGGTGGAATCCTGGACCTGTACGTTTTCTTAGGTCCTGACCCTCAAAGTGTTACACGACAGTACCTCCAGGTCATTGGTACGTCTCTTCAGTGTTGGCGCTCAGTAACACATCTCCAGGTAGAGGGAGCAACAAGCGTACAGTTTATACATGCCAGCAAGTGAAAGGTGTAGTTTCTAAGTGGAATAACTGTTACAGAATGTCACTATGTATACTGTAAATTTAAGTAGTGGATGTGTTTATGTGATTCCCCGTTGTCATTTATCTGTCCCCAGGCTATCCTATGATGCCTCCCTATTGGTCACTGGGCTTTCATCTGTGTCGCTGGGGTTACACAACCTCAAATACAACCCGGCATGTGGCACAACGCATGCACAATGCAAAATTTCCCATGGTAAATTAAGTATTCACAAAGCTCTTCACAGGATATTTTTCCTATGTATGTGCTATGAATGTTCACATTTTACCATAATCAGAAAAGAGAGAATTTACACTTAGGAACAAATGATCATTAGCTCTGGACAATGCTGACTTCCATTCAGACTTCTCTTTAAATCACTTTGTTTTCTGAGATCATTTTGTGTTTTGTGTTTTTCATCACCAGGATGTGCAGTGGAATGATCTGGACTATGCAAATAAGCGCAGGGTATTCACCTTTGACCCCTGGCGATTCGGGGACCTCCCAGTTCTGGTGGAGGAGTTCCATAAGACAGGCATGAAGTACATCCTTATCCTGGTGTGACATCTTTCAGTTTAAAATACCTCAAAATTGGTTAGAGTTGTGTGTTCTCTAGATGAGCAGAAGTAGTTTTCCAGTAGACTGCAGCAAAACTTTCCTAAATTGTGACTGTCATATTCTCCTGGTTTCAAAGGACCCAGGGATTAGCAGCACCAGCCCTCCTGGAACTTACTCTCCCTTTGATGATGGACTGAAACGAGATGTCTTCATTAAAAATGCTACAGGACACATCCTGATAGGGCAGGTAAGACTTTTTCTTGGGATGTATTATTTTTTGTCCCATTGTGAAGTGTGTATGGCATGCATATTCCCATACTGTGTGTGTAGGTTTGGCCTGGCCCAACAGCCTTCCCCGACTTCACCAACCCAGAGACCAGACGCTGGTGGGAGGACTGCATCAGAGATTTTCATTCTAAAGTTCCTGTGGATGGTCTGTGGATTGTGAGTATCTACACACGCAGATAGCACAGGTTATTTAGCCTCGTATGACTTGTCAGGTATGTCAGGTTTTCAGTTCTGAAACATGTCCGTGGTTTTGAGGTTGTGTGTTTTGTTTGCTGACATCTTAAAATCACATCAATAATTTATCCTGTTGTTTTCTCCCATGCTCCACCAAGGATATGAATGAACCAGCCAGTTTTGTGCAGGGCTCAGTGGAGGGCTGTCCTGACAGTGATCTTGAGAACC